AAGGAAGAGTTTGAACGCCAATACAATTCCAAGTTTTTGGAGGCGATTTCTTGCTCTCGTGTTGTAGTTGAGCCTGTAAGTTCAGGGACGTATGAGCCATCATCGAAGCTGAACTTAAAGGTACTACAAGACATCCTGAAGGGTATCTTCAAGATCCAGAAGGATGAGGAGCTTGCCAAGGAACGTGATGAAGAAGAAGAACAGGCAGCTCAAAACATCTCATACCTGTTGGCAGATGATATGGAGCTTGATTTTGATGATGATGATGTTCCAGTATGGCGCTCCATTGTCGACAAGTATAGAGGAGGTGATCAGGTGCTACAGGGAGAGGCTGTGAAGATTACTCACCTGTTCAGGGATCAAAAGGACAATGAGAAGGCGACAGAAGCTTTCAGTTCAGAGAGGACAGATTTTTATGAGACCTCAGGACCTCTTCCAAGAACCGAGGGAGAAAATCTTGTAGAGGACTTGCTCACCAAGGATGTTGCAGAACAAGCCTTTGAGGCAGGTGAAGAAGTTCCTCCTTATACAAGAGTCTCCACTATCGCTGGTGAAATCTATACTGGAAGTAGGACACTTCTAGAAGATGAGAATATGGAAGAGGAAGTTCCTGAAGAAGATCCTGCAGTTGAACCTGGAAAGGAACAAGAAATATTTGATGAAGATGCAGGTGTTTTTCCTTCAGAGGAACCAAAGATGGAAGTGGACCAGGAGGAAGCCAAGGAAGAGTCAACACCACACTTTCTGTCAAGAGAGATAGGTGAGGACTCGACTGCATCGCACTTACCATCAGGTGAGATGGATGCTAACCTTGATGATACTTCAGGTCAGCGGAAATCTAAGAAAAGCCGCCTGAATAAAATACCTGATCCTCATTTTCATGAAGAAGTTCAGGATGATGCAACCATGGAAGAGAAGAAAGAGGCGGTGGAGAAAATAAAAGAGGTCAGAGAGGATGATGGAGAGAAGAAATTGGAGGCTGAAATCCAAGAATCTTTTCCATCTGAAGTAGTTGTTGAAAAGGATACAACAAAAGTTGACAATACCTATGAGTTGCACACTTCACCTTTGAAGTTGCTTGGAGAGCTTACAGGAGATCCAGGTATTGGCTTTTATCAACTATGCTTCAGGGAAACTCATGCAAGATTGCTGAATCATGTTTGTTTCAGAAAAGGTGAGATTTCCCATCCTCATTATCAGTCGAGGATCAACGAGAATGATTTTGTTCGATCCATTCGTAATATCTGTCCAGTACCTCCACCTGATTGTTATGAACATGAACCAGAGCATGATTTGAAGAGATTCTTTATCAATGATGATCGCATCATTTATTTGGATGGCAAGTATCAGGTCGATCCAAAGGCCCTTGAAAGGGCAGGACATGCTCAAGAAGAATTGGAGGAGACGAAGAAGGAACTCAAGAATGAACTGGAATCATATGGTCCCAAGGGACCCAGTTGGGACTTTGTCACCTTCTATGAAGAGCTGTGCAGAAGGTTCCTCAAGGGAAGAATAGAAGAACCATATGGAACTAACTTACTGGCCAGCTCAGAGTCCTTGACATTTTTATCCTGGAACTATGGCAACATGGTTCGTGGTCAGAAGTACACCACACCAAGGTTTCTCCAAGGACTTGATAGTGCAATGAGGCCACGCAAACAGAGCGCCATGTCACTTCAGAATGAGCAATTTGAGAACAACCTTTTCTTCAACATGCTCTTCTTTTTACGTGCACATGTCGTGATTCTCCAGGAAGCTCATCTTCTTGTTCCTGCCAAGGAATTTATTGAGCAAAAGAATTGGACAGTTTGTTTCAATGATTGGGAGAATCTTGCAGTGATGGCCAGATTGGCACCAGGTGGATATGTCAAGATCATTGCTGGACATGACCAAGACCTTGGTCACTGTGAACAGCGTGATGTAACTTGGGCTATCTACGAGATTTGTTTTGGAGAAACAAGGCCTCGTCAAGATTTCAAGGATGCAGACTTTGAATTTGAGGACTATGGTCCTGAGGACAAGCGTGTTCCACTTACTCGAGCGAACATGCATACCATCAGAGTCTGTAATTATCATGTTGATACACACCGTGCTGTGGATGCCCACCTACTGACAGGAGAACAGACAGCATTGATGCTTTACGAGTGTTTTGTCTATGAGGTGGACATCATTTCTGGTGATGCAAATAGTTTGGCCTACAGAATGTCTGGGTACAAAAGGCAGCCAATGGCTAACTACTATGACAGCACCATGCAGCATTGGATCCGCAGGTTTTCAGAAGCTCGTGTAAAAGCAGATCCTGGTATCAAAGCACCTATTCCCAGAACATTTTACAGTTCAACTTCACAGGTCCTCAAGAAGTGTGAAGTTTACTTTGATAAACTCTGGGAAGAATATTCTACTGTTGAAAAAGAAGAATACCAAGGATCACAGCTTGGCGATACATGTTTGTCTACCATTGTTGAATGGGGTCATTCAATGAGTGAAGAGGAATATGAAAATTCCACAGTGAGCACGAAGGAGTTCATCTGTAATTTTTCAGAGAATTTTGCTATGATTGACACGGAGGTTATGTGCTCAAGGCCCACTGACGAGGACAGTCATGGTCCAATGTTTATTTCACTCAGACCAGCTTCTTTTTCATCGGGAGACAGAAGACAGTACCGCATGGGACCAACTCTTCATGAGGCTAACTTGCGGAGGAAGGAGAGACAGAAGCAGAATAGAAAGAAAGGAAGGCCGCCAACTTCTGATCAAGCAACTTCATCGTTTGCAGCGGCATAATTCCTGAGCGAAGGCTGAAATTTAAATGATGGCTAGGAAGTGAAGATACTTCTGGTTACAGTTGATACTTTGCTTCCAAGCTTGACTTTAAGTTGCCAGGCTGAAGTTTTAATAAATTCTGGTTTGCAATGAGGAGAAACTTTTTATCAAAGAAGATACTCCTGCATTCCAGGTTTATACGCTTTAGCATGTAGATAGGTATGGACAGTTTTACATAACTGATGATATCTATCACCACCGCTCTTATGAAGTGACCTCTAATGGACAACCAGTCATGGTTGATGATTAAGTCATTTCATGATCTGCAATTGTAGTGCAAGATTTTTTTTGTACATACATTTGCCGGTATCTCCTTCTTGTGTTTTGATGTGAATGTGAAAGAGAGTCCTTTTGATGCAGTTTATTTTGTCTGTGAATGAAAGCGGTCGAGACCACGTCACGAGAAGATTATTCCTCGGACCGTACGCTCCTTGCATTTTGCAAGGCATCCTAATTCATTGCAATTTGTGCGGTCTTGAAATTTTAGTTCTTTGTTACGCGAGTGTCGTTTGATTCTTTTATAGGTCTCTGTAGAGAAAAAGCCGCTTTTCCCTTTTTAGTTTGATTTAGCTCAGGCCCTAAAGAGCTAGTGAGCGCCGGTACATGGTATCTCCGCCTGCGAAAAGTACAGTCTCCAGCCGAGGTACATTATCGTTTTGATTTTGTACTTGAGGTGAGTCAGCTATTGCTCCCTCACTGTATTTAGTAGCTATGAGATTACCTTCTCTGAAGTGTGAAACACACTGGATTAGGTAAGTACATGGCACCGTAGTTTTCTTTTAAGTTGTCAGAGCTAGCTGGACTGTTTTAGCCTTGCAGTAGAAAAAGAGTATGCGACATACGCAATCAGCTAGAAGTGGACATGAATCTTGTGCCTGCTGAAAAGTAGAGCCTACCTGTACAGGGTTCCACTCCAACAGCTGATATAGTGTGTCCATGCTTGACTGCTTCAAGGCTCAAGAGATATAGGATAAGACTCTGCGTGAGTAAAAGACACTAGCGGTCTGCACCTCTACCGTGTACGCCCTAGTCACTCTTTCACCCCCCCCCTCCCCTTCTCCCCCTCCCCCCTCCCTACGTCTAAGGTGATTGGACTGAGACATGTCGATCGCTGGATCAGAATAGACAACCATTGGACTGAGACATGTCGATCGCTGGATCAGAATAGACAACCTCTGATTCGGATTCGTTCCATTTCATTGTAAAACGACTTCGCTTGAAATCAACATCAACAAACTCTCCCAGCAAAATGTGCAACTCCAATGCACCAACAAGTATGATTAAGCAGGGTATTGTTGTTCGATGTCATTCTGGGTCTTTCATTTCAAAGGGTTTGGAGAAAAAAACGACAAATCATGCCAGATCAAGAAATTCTTCGGTCGCTTTGAAGCCTTCTGTATGTGAAAAAGAATATCTTGTGCGACTCGCAATTCCTCAAGACGGTCGAAAAAAAGATCTGACAAGGAAAGCATGCAAAAGGCCAAGTAGTTTGGAAGAAGACTCATTTTCAAGTACCGGTTTTGTGGATTGTCTTGCTTCGTCTGGCTTGTGTTGGTTTCCATTGGTTTCAATCTACGGTTGGTTCCAATCTACGGTTTGTTTCTCCGCGCGGATGTTTCGACAGCCTGCCCTGCCCCGGTTGCTTCAGACTAGGCCATGGCGAGAACAGGATAAAGCGAGTTGAATCAAAGAGACGTGCCGGATTATATAGCTGCTTCAGCCTAGAAGAGGTGATCTTGTCCCTGCCTTGGAAAGAAAATAGAACTGTGGAACACTGTTAATAAGCATCATTAGGCTGCCTGCCAATGCGGGCTCGAGCTGGTGGCCGGCGGCATGCCGAAGGCTGTAAATATTGAAACACTTCAAAAATGGCCCCGACAACGTCTTCCACACCCAAGATGGATGCCACTCCCCTGAATTACAATCGGAACGTCTTCTTCGAAAGCAAACAGCAAAATCGCTTGCTTCCCGGTCGCTTTGGCTTCCTCCATTCCATGTCTTTCCTTCCTTACCTTCATCTTCCTCTATAATATGTGTGATTATTGTTTATTTACTACCTTTTGATACTTTTTGTCTATATCTCAATTTTCTGTATCTTTCTCAATCTTTTCCTGATTCGAACAATATATAATCTTCGTTCCTCTCTCTTCCAACTTTCTCTTTTCGCTCAACTGCACCTGCACAGCGTCGATCGATGGCCGCCAGCAGGGCTTCCGCAGTCAACCCTGTCACCGCAGGGAAGTCGAGGCCCGCGCCTTCGCCAAGTCGACCGGAAGAGGAAAAGGACGTCCCAGGCAAAGCGGCATTACAATGGTACGAAACAAAGCAAATCTACAAAATCTGTGTCGTTCTTTAATCTCATCCTTGTACCAAGCGGCCGGAAGCGGCTCGATTTCCTACGGGCAGAAACCTCCTCCCTAGCAACATCCTACTGTCTTGGCTATGATGATGGTTGAGGGGCAACAAGAGACAAAATCAATTGGCAAAGCCTTGTTCATGGGTCTCAAGGCCAACGATGACGAACATATTCATTGGGCATTGTTAGGAAATAAACACATTGTCGGAAAGGATCTTGCTGGTGCCGAAGAGCCTGACGGACGTGCATCCTGCTAGCCCGTGCTTTCCTTGCCTAAAAGCAAGCCCATCCGCAGCTCTTGTGCTCCCAAACGTCCTGAACCACGACGGTCCAAGCGCAGGAAGGCCACCTCACTGCAGTCGGAATGCTTCAATGTTGACTCTGAAAAAAAGCCAGCTGTTATGGAGAACCTATAAAACACATGAATGTTTGAGATCATATTATGCTACTAACCCTTGGCAGATTTACATAGTTTGTGCTGATAATGGTGCTGGCTTGATGCAAATCGAAAAGCACGGCTTGATTCACTTGGCACCAGCAATCACCTTAAGTCACTAAGTGGGATGAACACAACAGCGACATTGCTCTGAGATTGAATGATATTGCGTCACATTGCGTGATTTCTGGAGTCACTCCTTTTAAAACTAATCTGTGCAGCCAAAGCTACAAAAATACAAGTAGTGATGCTACAATTAGTTACTGGCTCACCTCCCACGTGGTTGCAACAACTGTAGCAATGGGACTGTCTCTGCTAGGTCACTCGATTCAGCGACTTTGTCTAAGTGCTTCGGACATCCTTCACCTTCTTGTTACCCTCACTTTCCTGGTGCCACTGTACTCCACCCAACACTTTTTCCAACAACGCTTTGATGGCCTCCGGCCACCCGAAGCGGAGTGCCAACGCTTCGATCAGGGCCTCAACGCCTTGACAACTCGTGCGCGACTGAAACGAGGATGAGGACAGCCAGCGAGAAAGAGGAGAAAGAATCAAACAAAACACTAGTTGAATAATGTTGAATATATCTTAATTCCATAATCTATTCCAGGCACTTCCAACACTTTTGGACGGATTTAGCATGCTTTTAACACGGGTTTCGCCAAACCCTTCAACATCCTTCCCAGTCCTCAAGCTGCTTTTCATTTCTTCAAGACAAGTGAGACTGTATCTGAATCATTCTAAACCTATATGTAAGCACCACCAGCTTGTCGACCCCCCCAGGGCAAAGAATCCTCTGTTTTAGATTCAGGCTTGGCACGGGTGGATTTCGCACAGCATAAGACTATTCCACTTACAGTAGTTCTTTTCAACACACCAGCCAGCATTTAACAGCTTTCGGGATGACACATGTCAAAACTGATGCAAGATGGGCTCCAATGCTTCCTAGTTGAGCCAGCCACACAGGTGCAACAGATTTGCTAGGATGAGATTAGTTAGATAGTCGAATGGCAGTCCTTCCGACTCACAGGTTGAGGTAGAGGAAACGATACATCTCTCGTGATAGCACCATCCTTTCACTCGAATGCTGCCTTTCAACACTGCACATCAATGTGGAATTATCTTTGTCGAGCCCTCCGAAAGACATGCCTGAACTTAGTGGAGTGACATGCCCCCGGCAATGATATATACAAAAACCAACTTGTGTTTTCAATTTCAAGGTGATGGCTTCTCATGCCTCTGCGTGATGAAGCTTTTCTCTCCTGGTATGTCGCCACGTGAATGGCTGCAACTCCAAACACAGAATTAGACAACTCTCTCTTTCTCTCTCTATATATATATAATTATATATATGTATATTTATACGGTGCCCTGTTCTTCATTCTCCATTTGCTTTAGACTTGCATGGGTCAGCTTGACCAAAGTTTGTACAGGTCAACAGTTCTCAAATCAAAGAACGGATGAGAACACATAAAGAAATCCGGCAAATGTTCACCGAGCCCTCGAAGCCTCACAAACCAAAAGAGTGGACACGTGGCGAATCGTCAACGACAACATAATTGTAATTTGGGGAACTCTGTGGAATGGCTTCAATCAAACTGCGCCGAACTCTCTGGGGCTTTAGGGAAGGTAAATCATCTTGACGCCCTGTGTATGGGAACCTTGGTTTGCGCCTGTAGAACGTGCGGAGGGTGAGGGTGTAAAATTGGCAGCCAAGGACCCTTCCCAAGATGTCCTCTCACGCTAAATATGTATTTATACTACCTTGCTAGGGTGAGAATGCTCCTTTCCAGGCGTAAGTTCTGTATTGGAGGAATGGATTCACCAGGCTGCTCTATATAATATAAGTATGAATTGCTGCTGAATCATTGATGCATATTCAACCGTGCAATGGACACACAAGTAGTATTTATGATTATTTAAGTTATCTATGTAATCTTTATGTATGCTTTCATGTGTTTGACACGTGTGCAGAGTTAAAAAAAGACCAGCCTTGCCCAGCTGAGCGCTTGCGGCATTCCTGAGGATTTGGAGGGCCTTGAAAGCTCTACCGATAGTTCTTGAATGCTTTGATCTAGGTCAGGGCCATGGCCCGGCCATGGCAGGCTAAAACGTGATTGTTTTGTCGAACACAACTGTCTTGGACACATCGATGAGAACGTGCACAGTCAATGAACACGAAACCCCCCAAAAGTGGCAACGGCAAAGCCAATACACATTTTTCACCCTGTAAGGTGCAGTATTAGCCAATGAACTTCTGCAACTAACTAAATGCCCGGAAGGGAAACCAAACATTGCGGCTTCAATTCCCTCGCTTGTTTCATTTGCTTCTATGCCAGCGATCCTCCTCGTGGATGAAGTCTCTCTATGCTCTGATTCTATTCTATCATGGCATACTTCAGGCAGACACAAGTTTACGCCTGTTACAGTAGCCTTCTTACAAAACACTCTGAGGTCAGCGGCGGATCGAATTAACAAGTCTAATTTGCGTGGCAGGTGTGGGACGGTCAATTATCACACCCTGTAAATCTATAATAATAATACAAGGCTTTCCGGGGTGACAAATGACCGCCCACACCTTCCCTTGTCTCATGGTGTAGGATTCTAGGGGGATAGGGTTGTCATGAGTTTCAACATCAACAAGCGCAACTTTTATCTGGCCAGTGTAAGAGCTAGCCTGCAGAGTCCCTACAACCAAACACATCACACCTACTTGACGCATCCACAATATGTCACAATGAACATCGTAAACAATTAACATGCACACTGCACCCTGACATTGACATGGCCATCTCATCCAACAGTCTTTTGCTTGTGCTCTGGGACCGAGCGGTTCTCCCTTCGTCAGGCTCTCCTGAGGATGGCTGCACCGTAGACGAAGCACATTTCTTTGCAGCGATCGTAAGCCAGGGCCTCTGCGGAAAAATGAGCATCACCGTTTCGTAACTTAATAGGGCCTGATGCTCTTGCTCCAACCACCTGAAGCCTTGGCTGGAACCAAGCGACTTGGAAATTCCATGCCTGAATTCCTTCAGTCAGTCTCTGTCCGTCTGTGCTTGCCTGTCTGCCTCTCTTGCGCTCTGCACGTATGTCATGTATGCCATGTTCTCCCATGAGTGTGGATCACCGAAAACATGCAGCGTCACTTGATATCATTAGCAGCGTTTTGTCAACAATGCAAAGGAATGTGCTTTAGGTACCATAGAGCGTCCATGGATCAACAACTTGCCACGCCGCAGGAGCTTTCAATAGCTTGGTCTCCATACCAATGACTTGGCCTCTGAAGTGTTGGAGAGGGAATCACGGTCACGAGGAAGGCAGAATGTGACAGTGGGACTCATCCATTAAAGTTTTCTAGCGTGGCTAAACGTGGCCACGTCATGCGGTCGTGCGAGTCACCTCATTTATTGTCACACGACGGCTTCGTTGAGCAACATATTCCGAGCAATGCCAATTGTGTAGCATGGGACCTCGGACAAGAAGTGTCGAACTACCTTCAAGGTGAATAGGTAAGTTAAACCGTTGGGCAGTCTCTATATCACATGACTGACATGAACTGATAATTGTTCACAATATAGCCCGAGTTGTGGAATTTGCCGGGACATTGGCAGGTGGTCTTGACCTACATTACATTACTCCACCGGCTGCCAATCCAACGATTAACGCTCACGTGTCAGGCCAACACCAAGGACTCCACAGAACTGAACACTGATATGACATCTCACTAATGCACTTGCTCAACCCAGTCACAGCTCGAATACTAAGGGTAAAGTGCAACTTTAAGGATCCCTTTCTGAGCGTGACTGGAGCAACATTGCCACCTGACTTCAGCCTGTCTCTTCTTCGCAACCACTGGTAGAACTGATAGCGTTGATGGCCCCGGCTTCTCGCTCCAACTGCTGGGATCTTGCAGAAGCTGTTTGCTGCTCTCCCTGCACGAGATACCCAATTTCCAAAGCTCAGGTGACAGGTTTGTCCAATGCCTGAAGGTATAAGTCTGAAAGTTGCTACTTTGGAATCAACAAATTGTTGATTCTCGGAATTCTCGGAGAAACACATTGAATTTTCGAATCAAAGCAGGACTTCCTTGCTCCTGGGTCTCCGTGAAGCGGGTGGCTATGACATGCTATGACCGGCTATGAGATCTCTTCTGCCATGACTTGTCTCTGCTCATCTGCACTCGTCTGAGGAAAGGTTCCAGGCCGCCATTGGCCGTCATTGGCCTGCAGGTCCACGATTTCGTTGGAGATCCGTTCGCCTCAAACAAGCGCAAGTCGGGAGGCCAGCTTTTCTGGCCCTGCAGGTCCAAGGTGTTTTTGTTTGGTCGCTCCTACTTGATTGTATATGTGCCTACGTACTTAATTGAGGGAGAAACTCACTCCTAGCTACTGAAACTACTACCAACGGGATAGCTCACGCTTCTTCAAGGAAGCTCCACCCGCCTGAGGGTGGGGGCAGCTTCCTTGAAGAAACTTAAAAGTAAGTTCGGAAAAAACGGCATGGGCAGTCATCAAGTCACACACTCGCTGGGCCAAACGGCAAGTCAAGGCCCATTATTACTTGACTCCTCATGAATGGCACTCACTACTACTCCTCGTGATGTTTGCAATGACAATCCCCTCGAAAATGTTTCTTTATGCTGCACATTCCAGGATCCATGGGCCACACATGTCTCGCAAGCACGAGCACCGCACATTTTTTCCGGGGCGCAAATCAACCGAACGCGATCACCCGCCACGTTTCAGAGCTTCGGAAGGTTGTCTCTAAAGGAGCACAAGAAGCAGTCCTAAGCTGCCGTCTTGAAACCAACCCTCCAGCCAGGGAACACCTGGGATAGCCTCAGTCCAGTCAACTGGAAATGCTGGGTTCATCCCAATCACTATGCCGAACAACTGGTTGTACCTGGATCAACGGCGTGTCCACAGCGACCATCCATTCCAACTTTCACCTTTGAAGGACTTGGGTGTCTTGCAAGAGAGTCTTGGTCCGTCTTGGTCATTTGCACCGGAGCAGTGCCACAAATAAGTTCCGTCAGTCCAGGAGTTCAGCCACGTTCAGCATATGTCTACCAAACTGACTGAAAGTGGCCACAAGAACTGAAAGTGACGCTAGAGTCCTCCACCTGGGACTGAACCTTCCTTCATGGTTCGGGAGGAAGGGAAAACAATAGAAACACAACTGTTTTTAGGCACGCTGTTCATACTGTTCTTAAAGCCAGACCCCTTGAGCAAGGTTACTCCGCGTCATTTCACCAGCGCCAGGATTGGCGACCGGCTTGAATTATCTTCGGGATAACAGCGCCTCAGGGACTCTGTCAAGTGACTACTCAGGCTCTATTATGTCAGTGTTTCTTTGCAGAACTTTCAGTGTACGGTGCATCTATATATTATATATGGCTTGCTCCCAGCTACAAATAGGTGGAAAAGCAGAAAAACACCTCATGCAAACATAGTTGCCGCCCTCTGCAAGAATCTTAATAGCACCTTATCGATTGTAACGCCCTTTGACTTCACATGATCGCATAACTATACCTGAGAGGGGACGACAGCGCACTTCAACCACTGTCACGCAGAGGGAAATGCAAAGAGGCGCAAAGTTTCCCATTGAGGGTTGACACGGTAGGCTCTTTATACACAAGGTCTTGATCAAAGCCCATTCACTGTTAGCGGTTATAGGATAGAAGTGGAGCCCATGCGTTAGGAGAAAGGTTGAATTGAGCAGGACAGGGGCCAGAGGGACAAAGCTTGAGTTGAGCAGGACATTCACAGGTTGAGGGGGGTGCCCTTTTTCTGTTGGTTCAGGGGCATTTGCAGGCTGAAAAAGGGCACCCCTAAGTAACTGAGGGGCACTTGCCTGCTTTGTGTTTCTCCTGTCTTGTACCTGGACTCACAAACTCAGCGTGCTCCTAAGAGTGGACCGGTGAAAGCTTACTGCCAAGATCTTATGATTGTATAGCATCCATCGAGCAAAGATTGCTGTTGTTATGGGGCGAGGTCGACATTGCACTGACCTCTACTGCGGGGAAATAAAAGGCAAAGAGGTGCAGAGTTCGCATTGAGGCTGGATATGATAGAGCCTACCAATATACACAACGCATGGATCAACTCTCATCCACCATTACCTGTCATAGGATACACTTCGACTCGCACAAAAGAGTCCGACTCCCTTGGACATCTATAACTCGGGGGGGTGCCCTTGTGCATCCGGTTAGCGGCCCTTATCCCAATAAAAAAGGGGCGCCCCCAAGCAACTCAAAGGTTCCTGACTGCATTCTATTTCCTCACCAGGAGATCCCATATCAGGACGCAGTTGTAAAGATTAAGACCGGAAATATCTTCCAGAGTTGTCCGAACGCAGTTATCTCTGCTCAACTCCCCAGTGTGGTGTGACATCGTTTCTTGCATTTCCTTCTACTCTTACTGGCCACGGGAAACAGAAGGCTGAGAGACGCAGCGTCTCGCTTTGAAGCTCAATATGATAGAGCTGATATACACAATGCCTGGATCAACTCCCATCCACTGTTGCTGGGAACAGGATAGACGTTGATCCGTGCAAAAGTCCGACTCGCTTGGACGTCTAAAGCTCTGAGGGGTCCCCTTCTTCATCCAGTCAACAAACCTTTTCGCAATACGAGGGGGCGCCCCCAAGCAACTCAAGGTTCCTGCTACATTCTACTTCCTGTCCTCTACCTGCACTCATAGCTCTGGTGAGCCTGCCTCAATATGAGTTACCCTCTTTAATGAGCAAAGAGGAGATCCCATATCAAGACGCAAGACGCAGCTGTCAAGATGAAGCCCGCAAACGTCCTCCTGCGTTGTCCAAACGCTAAGATTCTAGCTTGCGCAAGTCTCGCCGCCTCTGTCCTCTAACTGCGTGGACACACCTGGTTAGCCTGGTCAGCTCCCTCAAAAAAGATGACCTCTTTTCTTGCTTTTCCTGTCACACAGTGCCCTCTACCCAAACTCCCACCCCTGGTCACTAGACAGCCTAAAGAGGCTCCTTAGCACTTCATGATGATCACTCGCATCACCAAGACCCACTAAAACATACATTTTCACTACCTTCCTGACCGCCTCTTCTTTCCACTCTCCCCCACCAGGCTCTGGGTTCACCCTGCTTGGCGGGAACAAAATTTGCAACCAACCCCCCACACCCCCGACACTCACTTCGTTCGCCCATCGACAACTCCAGCCTAGCCTATCCGCTGGCTTTCGTATTTTATTTAGGCTTCGTGATGCTCTACCTGGCCGAAGCCAGTCCAAGAAACATGGCTCGTCACGCCATCTATACTGACAAATACCTGCTCAAACACCCACTTCAAGCGGCAAGCTCCTTTGACGGATGTATTTTCATCCCCTCGTTTTGCAAGAGCCAGACAGCGCCCACTATATTATGTACTTGAACGTTGCATGTATTTTTAGAAATTGCTGCCTCGGGATTCAAGCTTCGCCAGTCCATAGTGACCATCCAACAGTGGTCAGGCCTCTGCGGTCTCACGCCACCCGCAAAGAGGCAGTGATCTGCTTGGTGAAGGAGAGCGGCTTAATATTGCCAATTCGACTACTGTGGGGTTGCTTGATCAAGGATACTTGTGACTCAAGACAACGTGTAGATCAAGCGGCTCTAGACACCCAGAAAAACAAAAGACCCCATGACGAGACGCAAAGTTATTTCATCTGCATGCAACCAGAATCTCATTCTGCTAATACATTCTGCTCATGCTTCTCATGCCAGAGAGTCTAGAGCTCAAAGAAGGACTGCGACATGTGGATAGCAACGATTATGCATGTGTATGTATATATATATATATAGATAAACACATAGTATGACAGTACGACTCCGAAACTTCGCACAAATACACCGAGTACGGCGTCACGAGTGACAACCAAAGAATGTAATTGACGAGGACAAGATGGAGCAGCGATGGCAAAAAGTAACAGTTCAAGGCGGTGCAGTCGGAAGAACAGGATGACATTTGATGACCATATATAGTTGATTGTATGGAGTATGTCACGACTGACCAAACAATGTTATTTAAGATTCAAACAACCTGAAAGGAAAGACATCGATTGTTTTCCATTGTTTTCCTGTGTAAAGGTTAGTGTTTTGAATATGGAACTCTCTGGTGCTGAAATGCTTGAGAGGTGTGAGTCGTCATGGAACAGACTAGATAGATGAGGCCAGGCGAGGACGGTTTCTCAAGATCAGAATTTGAAAACAGCAGGAACATGAATTGAACAAGGCAATTTATTTCGATTCATTCAACTGATTTCAGCAGCCCAAATCACAGAGTCGGAGAACAATACAACCCAAACACATTGGCAAAAAGTGAGCACGAAGACGGGCTATTTGCAAAGAACCCTTCTTTTTGCACCTCTTTACCGAATATGTTGTCCCGCGACAAGAACACGACTGTAACAACCCACAAATCTGTAATCCAGCTCTCTCCGTTTAGTATGCCACAGCCAGTAACATATCGCGAACCGATCGATGGAGCAAAAAGAGAGGTGGGGGATGGCCTCCTGGAAGTGATATGCTTCGAGTATGCTTTGATAATGGGTGATTGTACCCAGTGCTTGCAGCATGTGACACCTCCCTCACCAAATCACACTGCGTCAACTACGCAATCTCAACGGGCTCCATCCCAACCCCTTGATTTGGCAAGAGGCGCTTTGAGAACTGTGCTTCAGAGGGCTGAATCCAGAACACATTCAAGAACGCATTGAATTAAAACAACAGCGTCTCGGAGTCGTGGAAAAAAAAAGAACTCGATTTGCCTATGGAGCAGCTGCTCAGAAAGCGGAGCCACGCTAAAGTCCAAATCAAGCCGCACAAATTTGAACGGCCGAGTTGGGCGAGGTGGTGTTTGGATCCTTTCGTCACTCTGGAGGTTTAGCCGGGCCGTGGAGCCCGTTTTTCCGATGCAAACGATCTTGCGAGTTTCCACGGCTTCCACAGTCCCCACATACAGACTGCCTGGCATTGCCTTCTTTTGTGTGCAGGTTGTTCTCGGCTTGAAGGACTGCCGCAATTTGTATGAAAAACAAACACTGAGAATCACTGAGAACCGATGATGAACAAAAGAACCTGAAGCATAGCTGTTTGCTGACTCAAGGACTCAGTGACTGTCTAGTAGTACATTTTGTTAAGAGTGATGAACGGTGTTTTTTTGAATCTGTGTTTCACCCACTGTGGCAAAACGTGCAACAGTATATCAACAGTCCATAGCCGTTCCTGGCATAAATGTTGCAAATCTGA